TGTGGATATTTTGGTGAAAGTAACTCAAAAGTAACTCAAAAGTAGTGTAACGCATTACAATTCAGAGACAGTAATATTGTAACGTAACTAATTACTTTCAAAAGACAGTAACTAGTAATATATAATGTATTACATTTTGGAAGTAACTTGCCCAACTCTGTCCACACCCCACCACCACCACCAGGGCAGACTATGCAGCTTCATTTATATTCATAATGTTTATTTTGTGTACCTACCTCTATATGATGGATTTAGGCTAGTGACCTTAGGGAGTCTTTTGTTCACATCTGAAAATAGTGTAAAATATTAAATGTGAAATAATCAATATCATTTAAATGCATGATGTTAATGGGCTTAAACGTATGTCTTTTACTTCAGGTTTGAAATTCCTGCAGCATGGCGTCTGCACAGCAATCTGCTAAAGAGTACCTCAGAAACACCAGGAAAGACCTGGTGACTGGCATGAAAAACCTTCCTCTGATCATTGAGAATCTTCATCAGCAGAATGTTTTCAATGTCTATAACCTCAATGATCTCAAAGCCGAGAGGACAGAGTTTGGTAAAGCCAGATGTATATTGGATTGGGTTACTAACAAAGGTGAAAAGGCCAGTTATGAATTACTCAAGATTCTGGATGTCACTAAGAAGAGGACATTAGATCCTGGTTTACACCCCTGGATCAGCTATTTTCCCTTCAAAGAAGACGACGCAGAGGCCAGCTATTCAATTGGTGAGTAGAGAAATAAAATATAATTTTGGTGAAATTAACACATTTAACATATTTCAATATTTTTTTATGCATTTGTTGCTATTTTAGGTACAAAGCCTTGTAAAAACTACCAGACACAGCTCAAGATGAAAGCAAGAAGAATCCTGAAGAACCAAAGGAAATGTTTCTGTAAACATCTGGATGACAAGGAAACTTTATATCTCTTGTTTTAGAGACCGACTTTGCAGTAAAAACTCCTCAATGCAAAATAAAATTGAAAAGCAAAAAATGCAAAAAGCTACGGCCCAAGAAGCTGAGAGCTTACATTCCTAACGAGGAACAAGCACTGTCACCTGAGGAGCTCCTGAGATGGCAGAACAAGAGCATCCTCATCATCGGCAAACCTGGAGTAGGAAAGACTACAGTTGTCCAGGAAATGCTGCGACTTTGGGCGGAGAAGGATGACAGACAGATAGACTACATGTTTTACTTTGATGAAAGTGTTTTGGCCCACAGTTCTAGCACTGCCAGCGTGGAAGCTCTTTTGTTTGATGTGTATTCAAAACCAATGGAAAAAGACAGAAAAGAAGTGTTCCAAGATATTGAGGAAAACTCTGAGAATGTTGTCATTGTGTTTGAT